ACAAATGAAAGGAGAAATGTTGGATAATTACAGAGATAATGGACAGAAGGACAGAGAATGGACAGAGGGACATGGGCAGAGAGAAAGAGAAGTGAGCTCAGTGGTGCCCAGTGGGGAGAGGACACATCTGTCTGTCTGTCTGAGCAGCAGCTCACCCCCAGTCATGTCTGCCCCGATGGACTGAGTCTGGAGGAGACCTGCCCAGGAGCCCAGGAATGATCTGGCTTCAAAAACAGGCTGAGGATGGAAGGAAGGTTTTTCCATGTGTAAGCTCTGCCTATAAACCCTGTGTGTCTCAGTCATGGCTCAACAGCGATACACACGCTTCATGATGACTAATGCCACAGGCTGACAGCGTCGGGCTCGTCCACACTCAAGAGGCAGGCTCACCCCTTGTTCTCTCGGTTATCAGTCACGCATAATGCCAGTTTATTAAGAAGTGAATTAAAGTTCACGCTATGGCCATTAATCAATTCACCACACAGAGATTGCTCCCCGCTGTCTCCCTCAGCCTTGTCAGGCTACAGAACAGGGGTTTTCAGGACACTGGAGAAAGGGGGGCGCAAAGGAAGCCTAACACCAGCGTCGGCTGTGAAGCCAGTCTGAACAACCTCCCTGGCACAAACATTAGGAGGCCCTTCCAACCGAGATACAGTACACACACACAAGGCGCTGGGGCGTCTGCAAGCAAGATCGTGTCCATCTGAGGCCGTGGTGGGGGGACTGAGTGGCACGCTATTACGGACTGGGTCTGCAGTCCGTGTCGGGTGTTGTAGTCGACCCTGTGGGATGCGGGAAGCGCTGGAGGAAACGGGAGGTGTGGTTTGGGAAAGCACACAGGGGCTGCACTGGTGCACAGAATCATAGTGACAGTCCGGGAGACAGTGAGCAGGGGAGACAAAGAGTGGCGTCCAAATCCGAGCAGGTCCGAAGGGGGGGTCAGGGCACAGTCCAGGGGTCCATTAACCATAGATCCATCCCGAGACGTGACGAGGCTTAAATCCCCGGGAACAGGGGAAAACACGAACAGACAAGCGACCTGGAGATCCTCCAGACCCCGGGCTCGGAACACGGGAGGAGTCGGGGATGAGGCCTGTGCCCTCAGGAGGCGGACGTAGGGTATCCTGGTGCTAGGGGGCCTCGTGACTTCCTGAGCCCTGAGCCCTGGGGGAGCTAAGAATAAACAGGGGGAGACACAACAAGGCTCACCTGGAACACAGACAAACGATCACAGGGGACTACTGACGGGAGTGAGATGGAGCGCCCCCTAGGGGAGGGATGTCCACCGTGTTTCACATGTTTCACAGGCTTCACGCTATGAAGATTGCTCTGAAACAGGACTGAGGTCCAAGGACTGCTGCAGCCAGGGGAGCTGATGGAAAGCCTGCCCCCTGCTGCTCCTGCCCACGCTGAGCACATTCAGCTCGCGGACCTAGCGGAGCCGGGCCTGCAGGGGGGAACACCTCCAGCACCAGCGCCCCCTACTGCCAGGGGCGGAGAGGGGTGGACAGACGCGCCCGTCCCAGGGGCCTCTGCGGCCACCACACACCCCATGCGCCTCAAACCCGTCTGAAGCACACTGGAGGTGGATATCTATATCCTTCAGGACCCTGAAATACACATTCCGGACCAGAGCTCATCACACCACCTCCAAGCTCCTTCCCGTGCAGGGGGGCCGAGCCACGTACCACATACTCTACTTAGGAACTCGTTTTTGTGCTTGGCACTTTGTCCCCCGCTGTCGTGTTATTATGGGAGAAGCTCTGCGCGCATCTGCGGCTCATTTCGCCAGACAACAGCAGCAACAGGGGGTTGTTGGCAAGAGGCAACTGCTCACAGATCGAATTAGAAGGAAGGACAGGAAACAGGGGAGGATGCAAGTGATTGCTCTAGTGGGGCTACGACCTCCCCTGTCACAGGAGGGGAGAGGCCAGGCAGCGAGCCGGGCTCAGTGGACTCGAGGAATCAAGGCACTTGCACCTGAGGGCAACTGGTCTTTTCTTTTCTGAACCCCAGCAGGCAAGAACCAGGCCTGTGCAGCGTCACTCTCTGAGAGGGCAGCACCAAGACACCGAGACACCAAGCTGTTGCACCGGAGGCGACGACGGGAGCCCATGGAGGATGTTATGGGAAAGCTACACCAAGCCACTGAGGACCCTGGCAGAGCTCTGTGTCCAGTTTCGACGTGCCCCTGTTGCAAAGCGAGAGAACGGAGGCCCTGTCTTCTAGCGGGAGGTGCTGCATGCTGGGCATTAATGTTATTCATCCGAACTCCACGTACAGCAACGCACCATAAGCCAGCTTTTCGTAAAGAATCAACACAGCCAAGGCCAAGCTTGCATTAAAGTACTTCCGGCCGTTCTTCTCCCAGGGTGCGCGGGGATACTGCGGGCTCCTAGCAGTGCTGAGGTCTGAGAAAGGGGGTGAAGGGGCTGGGACAGCAGCCAAAGACCCCCCCCCCCCAGTGATGACCAATGCCAGGAGCACCAGCATTTGATAAGGTCTCTGTTTTCTGCTGGCAATGGCCCCCGACTGATAATGGGGATCTTCTAGCAACGGCAGAGCACCCAGTCCATCGCGCTCCTTCGTCGAGAAGTCATGATTTATTCATCAGCACTCCACTGCATCACCCTCATATCCACTCTGCAGCATTACGGGCTGCGCCCAGCCTCCCCCTGATCTGGTCTCCACCCGGCACTGAAAATGAGTCATGGGTTCAAGCTTGGGTGGGATTGCTCACCGAGGCCGCCGAGGGCCCACGAAAAGCACCTCGGAGACGTGGCGCCCCCTTGTGATGCCCCGGGGGCCTGCAGGCCAGCGGTAAAAACAGCGAGGGCCGCGCCCCTCTTCCGGCTGATGCTGAACCCCCCTCTCAGTCTCTCCAGAGCAGCTGCAAAGCTGTCGGGGACGTAAAGACACGACAGGCGACTCTGCGTTTCCGTAATGAAAGAGTGGGGATGACCCCCCTCTGCCCAGCGAGGCCACTCCACACACACATGATGAAGAAGCACTTCCCAACTTGTCACATTCCTGTTGAAAAAACAGCACATTCCTGCTGCGAATACTAATATCTCCGGAAATAAAGAACTTTGAATGCAGAGCAGATGTCCTCTGAAAAGGCTTTCTGAAGCGCTGAGCACAACACAAAGAGCCAGCCTTGGCAGGAGACAGCTCTGTTCCAGCGCACTCACTGCACTCCCCTTTTTGGTTAAATAATGCTTTGAAAGCTAACTGGAACAAGGATGTTGAAAGCAACCCCTTTTTAGCTCATCTTGTAACCTCAATAGCTTACAAGTGCCTCACTCCCACGTACTTGCAGAAAACAGAGAAAAAAACCCGCCTGCTCTCTGTATCTCCTCTGTGTTCTCTCATTCCCTGGGCTCCTCAGAGGTGGAATGGCCTGTCCAAGACTACAGTCAAGACTCATCTTGAGGTCTGCACGGCACTGCCCTGTGCCCACTGCTCTGCGTTCACACTGTCCTTACTATGTCAACACTGCCTGCTCATCACTGCCGCGTGTTCACACTGCCTGCACACCACTGCTCTGTGTTCACACTGTCTTTACTTCACTGCCGCGTGTCCACACTGTCTTTACCTCACTGCTCTGTGTCCACACTGTCTGCTCATCACTGCTCTGTGTCCACACTGTCTTTACTTCACTGCTCTGCATTCACATTGTCTTTACTTCACTGTCTTTACTTTACTTTTCCGTGTGCACCCTGTCTGCACACCACTGCTCTGCGTCCACACTGTCTTTACTTCACTGCTCTGTGT